TGTGGTTTAGGATGCCTTCGGTAGTTACTAGTTCAATTAATCAACTATATATTATTTTTTCAAAAAAATATTACTGGATTCTAATAAATACACATAATTAACAACAATCTACGTTAAATAAATTACTATTCAATAACTATTGAAGCCGATGCATGAGGATTATTGTCCACGAGGTGACTTACTTGCATCATGCGATTGCACCATCTCCACGAGGTTTGTAAAATTACTACACGAATCAGGTAGTCACTATTTAAATTTATAGACCTTGAATTTTTTTTTTCAAAAAATATTGCTGGATTATAATAAATACACATAATTAACAATAATCTACGTTAAATAAATTACTATTCGATAACTATTAAAGCCGATGCATGAGGATTATTGTCCACGAGGTGACTTACTTGCATCATGTCCACGATGTTCGTGAAATCACTACACATATCACAAAACTGAACAAAATATTCAATTGAAGTTTATTAACACAAGCACTTTTACACGATTAAACAAATTAACATCATGATTAAACACGATTAAAATAAATTATTTGTCCGACCGACGGCACTTCTAAACAGAGATGTTGTTCCTTCCGTGGCTGCAGCGTAAAGGACTTGACCCGATCACTGTCGATTTGTTAATGAAAAAACGAAGACACCCGAAATTTTGCAATTCTAGATCAGATATCATTTTCAATTGCATTGTTATTAGTTCAAGTGCAGGTGGTGCCTTCAGCCGTGAACTAATTTTTGACAGTTCTTCAGGAGGCATCGTCCATCGTCTAACAATTGTGCAAAAGAGATGCTATGATAGACAATGCCGAAGACGGTCGAAGTCGTTTCGTAATAAATCGCGAATTTAATAGTAACTTTAGATATATGTTCGCTTTGCACTCAAGCATTGCTGATAACATGCATTAAATCTATATTTTTAACGAAAACAAATTAATTTCGCATGAATATTTAATATTATCTGAATTATAAAGGATAATTGTCATTATATCGAATGAAACAGTTTTTAATAACAAAGATACCACAGAAATTTGATTACAAAATTCTTCACAAATAATTTTCTACATATTTAATAATTAACTTTACATTTACTACATTATATGAAAAATATATCAAATGGAATACTTTTTACTGTTACTTTATATTTTATTTGAACAACTATGTATATTACTAGAAATTAATAATCAAATCTTAATTATTACGTTTATAAATAATAATTTTAAAAATAAAATCTCTATTTTGATGAATTTGGAATTAAAGGCATAGATAAAAAAATATCTAAATTATATAGGATTAGTAATTCAAAACAAAAGCAAATAAAACGGATTTTAATATCAAATACAGAAAAGAATTTTCATAATCAAGTTCTTCCTTCATAAAATGACTTTACATTTACATTATATGAAACATATATTAATTAGAAAAATTTTTACTTTTACTTTATATTTTTTTAAACAACTAATCTTTATTACTAAAATTAATTATCAAATCTTAATTATTGTCTTTATAAATATTAATGTTATACTAAAATCTATACTTTTAACAAATAGAAATTAGATTTAGCATGAATATATAATAATATCTAAATTATAAAGGAACAATAATTTATAATTAAAAGCAAATGAAACGTATTTTAATAACAAATACACAACAGAACTTTGATGATAGAATTCTTCTTGAATATTATTTTACATAATCTATGATAGACATTACATTTACATTATATGAAAATATATCAATTGAAATTTTTTTCACTTTTACTTTATATTTTATCAACTATGTTTATTACTGGAAATTAATTATCAGATTTAAACTATTACCTTTATAAAAAATAATTTATAACTAAAATCAATATTTTTGTTAAATAGTAATTAAATTTGGCATGAATATATAATAATATCTCGATTATAAATCAAAATTAAAAATTTGAAGGTAAATTAAACAAATTTTATATAACAAATGCACAATAGAAAGTTGATATTCGAATCAAAATTTCTCAAAAATTTGACTTTACATTTACATTATATGAAAAATATATAAAATCGAATACTTTTTAGTTTTATTTTTAATTTTATCTATACAACTAATTTTTATTAATAAAAACAAATTACCTAATTAATTAATACATCGCAATTGTTTATAAATATTAATTTTATAACCAATATTATTACTTCTACTATTAATTCTTCGTGTTTTTCTATATATTTATAGTTGTTTTTTATTTTGAATAACGTGTTATTATGTTATTATTAATATTTTTTATTCTACTTAATATTTTAGTCAATAATTATCAGTAATTTTCAGTACTGGAAAATAATTATTGTTTGAATAAAAACTTAAATAAAATACCAATGAATTTTTTGGATCATTAAGATATTTCATGGCATAATTAGAAAAAAAATATTTATTATTTTCTTATTCTGATCTTCGAGCCACATTTTGTCATAAAAACATATCGGAAGATATTGGACTTCTTTGAGAACAATTTAAACCAACAAAAAAATTATATACTTAATTAATATTAATTTTGTTTGAATTAATGAAATAAACTTAAGTTAAAAAAAATTTTAGTTATTTAAAAATTGAAAAAAAATCACGTGTACCTTTAATTTGACTATAATATTATAAAAGTGAATTCCTTCAAATGTTTGAATATAAAATGAGTGAAATATATAAACTTTATTTATACCAATTTTAGAAGAACCAGATATTATATACTCCAACACGTGAATATTATTTAAATGAGAAACTAATTTTTTAAAGATATATATATATATATATATCTTTAAAAAAATTTCTATCCTAAACTCCGAAGAGTAAATACATAGTTTCGACAACTTGTCAAGTTATCATGATTATTAGTGTGTTTTACCATTTGTGATGTTTGTGTTAAAAAATACATATCTTATCAATGTGCACATACTCATACCATGGATTAATAATGGTTTCATATGCTATATTAGGATTAACTTGATTACCACTGAATGATGGCTAAGATGCTAGCCGAAACGTATGGATTTTAAATAAATAAATTTTTTAAAAAAACTCATACTATTTTTATCGATGTTACGCCCGAATATTAAACTCAAATTAAACATATATATATATATATATATATATATATATATATATCGTGAAATATATATATATATATATATATATATATATATATATAACAAATGTATTCTGAGTGGTTATAAATATGAACAAACAGCACTCTTTTTTGCACTAATTTACTTTATATTTTATTCCGGACGCGGATAAACAAAAGCCTAAATAAATAATTATTCTTTCGTAATTACGATAAACTTTCAGAACCAATATTTTCCTTCCTTAACTTAACTCTTCTGTGTACAAAAATTTACATTTTTCCCCGATTCGCCGTATATTCCAGCCCATGAAAAATATATTAACTCTACCCCTACATAATATTAAACTCTGGCAAGACAGAAAGTTTGCTATTTTGTATAAAATTTCTCATTAAATGCCGAAGTTTCGCTGGAAGAAACTCTTGTGTAAGCAATATGTGCAATTAAGATTTATATTATCTATGTGCCGACGCCGGTTAATAAAGTTACTTTCAAACATCTCAACCTGTTTATGATGTCTGCAACATCAAAGCTAAAAATAAATTAGTAAACATGATGGTTGAAAGAAATGCAGTTACATGTATGTTTTATATAGTCGAATTAATTATCTATCTCATAGCAACGTTATGGAATGCATTAAAATTTTAATGAGGTCTAATGAGATTTCAAGTATAACGTAGAAAATCTTACAAGAGTTCATGTAACAAATTATCCTAATTATAAAATGTTTGTATAATTTTGTTCTTGGATAGACCTTAGACCATCGCAAAATCGCAATTTTTAAACATAGTTTTGTGAAAAAAATCAACGTATAATTAATATAATCGAAATTATAAAATTGATATGACAAAAAATTCTGTGAAATAGAAATTGGAAAAATCGCATACACACATATATATATATATATATATATATATATATATATATATATATATGTATATATATACATATATTAATTTAGACATATGAACAAACAGCACTCTTTTTTTGCCACCCTTTCATTTTTACCACACCCATTTGTAAGCCATCATAGAGGTTATATTTTTGAATCTAACTTGAAAATAACAATTCATCTTATAAAACAAATAAGCAACGTTTACTTAAAATTATTTTCAGGTAACAAACTAAATACAATAGCACAAAGTCAAAAAACTACAAAAGAAAAAAACCCTTTGGTATTAATATTGATACATTCCTTCCCGAATATCTCATAATATTAATATTGTAAGAATTAAGGTGATAGTTGGTTCCACTGCTTTTGCCTTTTATTTTAAATTAATGCCGTTAAAAAAATATACTTTGCCTACTTTTAAATATTGCACACTTTTAAATAATATTTTTACTTGAAACCTTATTTTGCGTACTAAAGATAAATATCGACCATTTTACCAGCGGACCTTTAAGCCCCGCTCTACCCTATACACACATGCTTCTTGCAATATTTATGTCAAAAATCAATATTATCAAATCTTCTGCTAGAAAAAAAAAATCTTCTCTTTGGAAAAGTTGAAAATTATGCATTTGGTGGCAAAGAAAGAGCAAGAATAATTTTCATCAGAGACTATCTTTTTACGTTAATGCAGTATTTGAATTTTCAAAATCTGTTCGCGGTTTCTAGGCAAAAATCTTTAATGCTAATATAATTTACTGGTGTATATACTCATTCTTATCGATTCCCAAAAATTTGCTGATTAAATACGTTAAGTCAAAATTTTCCTTTACATACACACAGGCTTTTAGCAACCTCAACCTTAGATATTTTCTTTAATCATATGCAAATATTCACAGATCTAAATGACGTAATGAGAAATAAGTAAAACAATATAATTCCCTATATACCAGATTTAAAAAAAAGAATTTTATTATCGGTTCATCATGTTACGATGTTCAATTTAATTTCCACCAGGTTCTGCAAGAGATGTTAGACCTAATTGACCGCAATCAGAGGAACAAATTGAAGCTGGATAACCTGTCTTTGCCTTCTCCGGAAAGACATAGACCACTTCGACATCAATTCAGTTCCGACAACATGCATGTTCCGCCCTTTAACATCCCCAATTTGCGAATCGAGCAGAGGAAGACCAGCAGCGCCGAAGACATGGCCAGGAAGAACTCGGCAGGTGAATAAAATACCAAAAAATTTTGTGGCTTTGAGTAGTAATATAATAATATTATATTTTTGTTCAAAATTAATTTTAAAGCATTTTTTAATTATTTTGAGAATCGAGCAGACAACATTTTCTAACAACTAATATTGATATGCATATTGAACAACAAGTACGTTATAAAGTGATCTTTAAATAATAGTTAGAAGTATATTTATTAAGAAAATAATAAAATTGTTAAAAGTATTATTTTTTGTACAGGCATGTGACAAGTTTCTTACCATTCTCACTACTATTTTTGCATATGCTATATAAAGTGTAAAATAATTTTTAAAATAATTGAAAATAACATTTTTACCTGAAACCTCATATATCTTCATATGATATAAAACATTCATTATAATAATGTTATTGCAAAAAAATATATCTACTAGATTACAAAATGAATAGAATTTTGCAAAAAAATCTAACTTCAATATGAAAAATGATGTTAATATCAAAGCCACAAAATTTATCATAATTTTTTAATTTTTGAGCTTTTTACTGTTTTTATAACAATGCACTTTTATGTTTCACATTTTTAGTGTTTTAAGAAAATCTATTAATTTAATACTTCAATTTATGTGGGCGTGTGTGTATTTGTGTATGTGTAATAATATTCAAATGATAAAATATATAATTGCATATTTTTCATACTGGCATCTAATCAGTTTATGAAAAGAAAAACCAAGTTTCATTTAAAATAATTTTAACAAAATTTTGTGCACGTTTTTAGTTTCTTTTTGACTTTTCTTTATTGAATAAAACGCACAAATTATTTAAAAAAAACACTAAAACCACACATAATGAATAACAACCCATTAAAAAATATGCATTAAGAAATTTTTTTATTCGATTTGAAAAATTGAACTAAAATTTAATATAGGGGGAAGTCCCCGAGTGCCGGACACCTAAGGTTATTTATAAATAAATAAAAAATATTTTATGAAATGTTTATTAAAATGTGACTTATGTTAGATAGAGAAATCAAACTAAATTAACAAAAACGCAATCTTTGCTTAAAAGTAATCAATACTATCAATCAAACTTTCATAACAAAAAATATGATTTTACACAGTGGCACCTAGTACCGGACATTTCAAAATAACCAGCATTGAACATATATTTAGCCATCTCCACAACCTGGAATGTTTGCACATGTGTGTTGGACGAATATTCTTGAATATTGCAAAAAAATTACTAATTCAGTATTATTAATAATACGTGTTAAATAGAGTGTCCGGCTTTAGGTGCCGTCCGGCGTTACGGGACTTTCCCCTAAACTAACCGAAGAAAAAGAAACAAAACCAAGTTTTTCTTTTTAAAGACTTAATGGTCGTCTGTATGAAAAAGAAGTTGTTTACAATGTATATATATATATATATATATATATATATATACATATGTGTGTGTGAAAATGTGTTTTTACGTGGACAGTTATACCAATTTATATTAATTATTATTTGGATTTTGATATTAATGTTGCCATGCAATTTACTATGAATTCATTATAATAATGTATAACTTTAAATTTAATTTGCTAAGAAAAGTAACTTTTTCAAGAAATTTTACCAAATGCTATCATAATTCAAAAATTGCAATTTATTTGTGATAAAATTAATCCAAAAATGAAAAAAAGCATAAATTTTCAGTTATGGTTATTTACAAATTTTGTAACTTTTCCAAGAAAGTATAATTGAAACTGTTCTAAAGTTTCTGTGGAAAATATTATAATTGAAGTCAGTTGAATAATTAAAATTAAATTCAAAATTTGTTTTACCATATAATATCAATTTATAAGTAAAAAAAATAATTAAAAAATGAAAAAAGCATAAATTCTCAGTTATGCTTAAATAGCAACTATCATACAATTATAACTGCAATAAAATTTATATAAAAAACAAGGCAATTATTAAAAACAAATCCTCTATCTTTCCAACATAATCCCTTCGGGTGTAATTTTCTACTTTCCATTGAACACATTGTAAAATTTAAATCTTGTTTCGCATAGATTAAAAGCTCCGTTAAATCCTTGAAATGTTAAAAGCTTTAAGCTCTACTTATTCAGTATGTTCTGAGAATATCTCTTGTTCTCTTATTAACCTCTAACTCCACCATAAGGGATGGTTCTACAGAAACTTCTTAGAAACGACTACAACTTTATCGAGATGGAATGCGCAAAAGCTACAGAGCCATCGAGAAAATGTTAAATTGAGAGTCTGAATGTTTAAATGTAGTACGACGGATCGATTTATATCGGGAATATATTTCTTGGAAAAGTTCCATGGATAATAGACTTTTTTTTGCTGTTGCTGTGATATTAAATGATATATATATATATATCATTAACATATACATTAGCAAGAGAATGAATCAACATATTTATAATTCAAAAAACCCTAGACAATTTAAAACAATGTTTTCTGAGCACATTATTAATTTCAAACATTCGTTTAATACTGACCATCCTATAATTTTATATAAAGAAAAAAATGTAGACCTTAGAAGATTTTCCGAATCATGTTTCATCTTTTTACATTCTAATTGTGTTAACAAACGCAGTTCTTCTAGCTTACTCTCAGAAAGTTATCAAAATATAATTAATTTCTGTAAATCTGACGCCATACTACACCCCTGATATCCCTTCCCACATGCACGCGTGTTGGTCGCATAGCCGTCTACACGTCTCTCGACGCATTCTTAGTCCATTCGTGTTGCTATGCTTTGATAACAAATAATTATGTATTTTATACATTTTTACATCTACCTTTTTCGGTCTTTTCGTAAATTATTTTTGTTTTCCTACAGTAGTGTCATGTGATTGTGGTGTTGTAAAATGTTTTAGTAAAGTGGGTTTTTCCTGATCTGGTGTGTATAATTTGTTGTTTTTTCAATTAATTTTTCCATTGTATAAATTCATTTTTTTGAAACCTTTTCTTTATATTGTAAATTTCTTTTAGCTGAATGATGAGACACATCTAGTCTCGAAACGTATAAAAAATAAATTAAATTGTTTACATTCGACGCATTGGCTGTTTTATTCATTTCAATATATATATATATATATATATATATATATAATTCATACTTTTATATTAACTAGGTTCTAACGATCGGGCGTTCTATCAATAATAATATGACTTGAAGAGAAAATATTCTGATATGAAAATATTCACAATAGTTTTGACTTTAATACCCAATTTAATAATATGTAGGTACGATCTTAAGCGCATTTATATATTTCAATATAAATAGATAGATATAATAAAATAAACATACATATAGTACGCATAATAGTAAAATTAAAATTCGCTGGAACAAGACGTAAAAATAGATTTGTCCGTGTGTATAATTTTAAATTCTATATTATATATGTTTAAATGGTATTTCATGACTTTATAATTTATATATAGTTATTTTTTATTTTGTGATTTATTTAAATTCATATATTATATTTGTCATACCTATAAATAATCTAATTCGTGTTCAATAAGAAGCGAATAATAGTAGATCAGAAACCTCACCAGTTTCTAATGTTAATCTAACTCTGATTTTGGTTAGAAACTAAGAAAATTCTGGTAAGAATCTAATGACAATTTAATCAGTTATGAAGAAGATTCAAATAAGATTCTGGTCTGAACCTCTTGTAAAATGCTATCAAGATTGTACTACATTCAACAATTAATTATTTGCAATAGCTGCTCGAATTAAGTCGCGGTATTATGCTTTCAAAATAGTTTAAAAAAATTGAACATTATTGATTAGACATTAATTAGATACTTTTTATAAAATTTAAACCTTTAATTTCAAATGCACGATATTAGACGGAAAAAACCCTGACATTAACTCTTACAAAATAGTGAAAATTGATTTATTCACTTAACGACAGATTTATAATCGTAATTGACATTGCATTTATTTACATTTTAAAAACTATTCAAAAATATCTGAAAATCAAATATTAGTCGCAAATGAGAAATATAAATATTCAACTTCAAATTGTTTTTTTTTTCAAAATATATTTTTTATGATATAAAGAGGCGCCCATTAATCACGTGAGGTTTTTAGGGGGAGGGATGTTTAAAAAAAATCACAAAATATTACGCGGAGAAGGGAGAGGTATAGTAAGATATCAGGTGTGTTTATTTTTTACCTGAATTAAAAAAAAATCCAAACATTCTCAAAAAAATAGAAAAATTATAATTTTTCCTCGTAACTAGTTAATTTTAACTCCTTAAGATATTAAGGCTGAAAATTTTGGAAATTTTGATAGACCGCATTAGAATAGATTTTAGTTCACTAATTCACTAACAGTTATAAAAAATATTTATCTATTTTTATAACTACTCTTATGTTGGTGGATGCAATTTCATAAACTTAGTTTTGATCAAACTCAGTATTTTTAGCGCGTATATTAAGCAAATCGTAGAGATTTTAATTAAATTTTCAAACAGAATATCATTTATTGATATAACACCTGATCGTTAGAAATCACATAATATATATATATATATATATATATATATATATATATATATACAAGAATCATCCCCATATTCCACGAATCGCCGTAATTGGCTGTAAAATCATCATCAAAATTTTAATTGCAAATTTTATGAAAGCACTAATTACATATGCTATTTTCGAGCACAATAATCAACTATTTTATTAACGTTTGTCATACGCATTTGTTGCACAATGATTTTTGGTGTATTTACATAAATTACATGTTTTTTAAAATATTTTATTCAGTTCGGAAATCTCTATGTATAATTGCATTTGAATTTGGTTAATGTTTTATGATGTTCTGTACTCTTTGGTAATTATTTTGTATTTGTTATACAATAAATATCTACAAAAATACACATTTACACTTCAAATTTAACACACCTAAAGTTACTCTAACATACACAATTTTAATTTTTTTTTTTATTTAGTAAAGTTTTTAGTTGATTTTATACTGCTATTGAAAATATGTGTAGCAATTACTTCAATGAAATTTTTTAGAGAGCAATTATATTTCCAAATTATTTTCTTCGATACAGTTTCTATCTTTTTATTGTATTTTAAGGTTAAGTTACTACACATTAAATATCTTCAAATATACTTGTTTGCACTTTGAAAACCACAAAATCTACTTGACTACACGATTATATGAATTTAAACAAATTAATATTGGATTATTAAAATTTTTATTGGTTTTATATTGCTATATGAATTTGGTGGTAATCACTTTCCATAAATCAAAATTAATTTTGTCTTCACAATGTTTTGTATCTTTATTCCAATTTTTGTTTCCGCACCAGAAATCTGGATATCGTCTTGCACATTGGTCTGTCCATTATCAAAATTAACAACAAAAAATAATCAAACGGCGAATTTTCTCTTTTCTTCTCCTATGTCACTTTTCCCCGGTTTCCCTTTCCCAAAAATGTAGCCAGCATACATCGAACAGGTTCCGGCATGTTGGGCGGTTGGTGGTTCACTGGAGGTTCTCCTTCGTCTCCTGATAGCAATTTTCTTCGAGTGGCCAACGCTTTTCCCAATCGTCGTTTGAGTGACAACACCTTGATGACACCAAAGATCAGGATAGCACCTTCTTGCGCCTCTTCTCCAGGAGGCACACCTGGAGGAGGTCTGCCGATTAGGAGACACAGCAGTATAGGACCTCAGGAAAGAAGGGGGTCTGCTGTTAATCTTAGTCCACCTACGGTGAGTGGTGATACAACAATCATAACACTATTTTGGTTATACTTAATTTATAATTAGGCACAATCGGTTTTATAGAATGCCATCATCATCCAATGGTTAGGTTCTAAAAGTTGTCCAAATTGGATGGTGGAGTCACTAATTTATTTGGGAACCAAACATAAAAGAAACTAATAATAGTGATACAAGTAATATAAACTAGCCATTCTATAAATTCCCCAGTGTCAACTTTTACTATTCTCCTGGATGCAAAATATTCCTTTATCAAAATTAGATTACCAATTATCCTCTTCTTGGTATATAAATTTTCCGCGCTTTTGTAATTTATTGTTTCCTTCGTCCTTCTCTTTGCCAGTATCTTATAATTTGCATTTTAATCCTTTTCGTAAAGTTTAATTCGATAAAGAGGAATTCTCATTCTTGGCAACATGATTGTCTTTTTAAAGTTTCCATTTCTAGACCAAGGATATTACTTTAAACGGTACAGTTGATAGATTAAAGCCATTAGGAGAATGAAAAGGTAGTTTCAGTGTTGAATAAAAGAATAATATGAGCAATGAAAGTGATATTTTTCATTTTGTATAGAAATAGTAATATTAGAGTAGATCTGGATATTTATACCGACTATGGTAACTGATACCTTTTAAACTAAAAAGTACTGATTTTAAAAATAGGTATCTATATTTGTTTTGTAGTTTGCGATTGAAGTAAAACTTATTTGTTACTGTACAAGATGGCATTTAAGTAAAAATAAATACATCATATAACAATTTTGAATAATGTTTATTATTAATATGGTAACACTCGTTATGCACACATTTATTAGTGTCACCCATTATACACATTTATATAATGATAAATTATAAAATATATATTTATAATAGCATTCAAAATATGTATAAATATATTCAAAAAACTATAATGTAATTTTAGTCTTACTTCAAATATGACATGATCGGTTTGTCATTGTAATTAGCATTTAGATATAAAAAAAGAAGTAATTGCTGATTAATAAATTCTGTAATATTCGTTCACACAGTGGATTATGTTATACAACGTCTAAACAAATATTGATTTCGCAACTTTACTCATCATGTAATTGTATTTGAAGAACTTCATGTAATTAAAATTCACATACGTTCATTGACTGCTCGTATTTTTTTTTACTTTTTTGCTGGCGATATAATCTCATTCTTTGAACAGCTGTAATATCTGTCTTGCCTTAAAAATATTTTCCATTTTAATAACTTCAAAGATTTATAGAAACTACGAATAATATAGAAATAATTTCTAATCAATAAACTTACGTTTAGTACACGGCACAAATGTTTAATTTGTTTTAGTATTTTCGAGGAACAGGGTAAAATATTCTTCTGATTCAGGCATTTTTCATTAAATCAAGAATTGTACTACGGTGCAACTTTAAAATGTTTATTTATCTATGCCGATATCCTTGTTGACATCGGTACGCATACAACGTTGAAGCCGGTACGCATACAACGACAGATCTTTATGCACATACACGACGGCTAATCACAATCGACCCGTATAGAAATGATATCATCGAGAGCAAATGACAAATCATTGATACTCGACTCTGCCGTAGCGCACTTCCGTTGCATTTGTACGGATTTACACCCTAGTCACTGCTAAAGAAATTTTACTTTAAAAAAATAGTTACATATTACGTTACTTCTGTATTTTTCTCCAACTACTACTTGCTCCCATCCATTAATTGACATTGGTCAAATTTTCTTGATATTTTTTAACACAAGTACATACGTGACAAAGATGATATTTTGTAGATAAAAAATCATAAATTTTATTAATAATTAGATATTTTTAGATTGTTAGAAATATCGTATTTTACAGTTTGCTGCCAGACTGGGTTCCGGTTCAAGTTTATCTGTACCAGCAACATCTAATTATGTAGTAAGTCGCCTATGGTGTCTGTTTAAGGATCCATTTTGGAAAATATCCAAAAACCATAAAGAGTCACAAATGGAAAAAATACATAAATTATAATGAATTTATAAAAATAAATTATAATAAATTTATTGTCATTTTTGGTCAATTTCCAATGGGTCCTTAATTCTTCCATTTTTTTCAATCTATTCGTCAGGTTTTGTCAGTGCTGTCCAGTGCCGTCTCAACAATGTTTGAATGGTCGTGTTCATCAAATTATGGATTATTTATTTATTTGTGCTGTTTATATATATGAATTTATATATTTTATACATATGTTTATTGTATGCTACATAAATCAAGCAGGAATTATCATCGGCTACATATTTTTTATAATTTTTAAGACCAATGCGACTTTGTTGTATATTTGGTACGAAGTTCGGAAGGTATTGGCCTTTATCTTAAATCCTAAACTTTTATCTAAATAAAATTATTTTTGTTTAATTGCAGAGTTTAATTTATTAAATAATCATAACGAAAAATCATCTTGTTTACGAATTATCATCAATATAACAAAAATATTGTTGTGTTATATTCATTTATCGACTTTTTGGATCATTTACAGCTGAAAAGCTATGAAGGAGCTCTTAAAATCAGTCGTTATTCGAGTTTCAAAACTCAAAAAGTATACTTTATTTTTGAAACACCTGTTTGGTTATTCAATTAAATATTATATTGCTTGTTATTTATCATGCTCTGGCATATTTGATCAATTCAATTCAATTAAATTAATAAAACCGTCAAAACAGCTTCAGAATACATTTTGTCAGTCATTTCATTATGATCCATCAACTGTCATTCACGATATAATAAATTTATGCAAAAAAACACCCCATAAAAATTTTATTATTGCGAATGGTGCTTAATGTGATTGGCCGATAAAATAATATTTGCATTATCATAAAATAAATAATAAATTGTGTGTTTATGCTGCCCTTGTTTTATCAAAACGTTATAATGTTGCATCTTGTTTCATATCAGTAAATATTACAAAAATCATATAAATGTACCATATCATGATTCGTTATATATTATTAAATTTGTTTTTCATTAAATATATAAGATTAAGGTCCTATTAAGCTTACATATTTCCAGGATCATATTTTTTACTAAAGTTGAAAAATTTATTTGTTTCAACTGAATAGAATTATTTAGGTTAAATAAAACGTTAAAATCATTTCAATGTTTTAAATGTTTTATCTGTCTCATTTTCAGCTTGCACGGAGCATGATCGTGAGTATTTTCAATGTGATTTTTTGTATTTTATTTTTTGTTTAATGTATTTTGTATGATAAATGTTGCTTAAAGTGATAAAATCTAAAATAAAATATAACTTACTGAAATTATACATATTTAGTTTACAGTTTTTATTAAATATCTACGTTTATATTTTAATAGCTAATATTACTTTTCAATGAAATGAATGAAATGAATTATTATTGTTTTAAATAAATTTAGAATATTCATTGATTTTTTACTGGAGGTTTTTACGTCATTATTTGAGACTATAATAAAGTTACAAAATCAATAACTTTTAAAATAACCTGACGACTTGAGGAGAAATTATATCTAATTAAACTTCGAAATAAATTTGTTTTTTTTTAAGATTTTGTTCTCCAAATTCAAACATAAATTGATAAGCAATGCAGAACTTTTTAATTAAATATGTACCAATGTCCGAAATAATATTTTTGTAAGTTTTGCTTTCAAGATTTCATTTTTTACTTAAAAAAATTATACATGTCAATACTGCTGATAAAACAAATCGATAAAGAAGTTCAAAATAGAGTTCAGTGTGTTTATTCTTTATACTTACAGCTCTATGGACATTGAAATATGTATTATATGATTTTTAGAATACCTATCATTATTCAATATTTTCTGAAGTATAAGTTATTTTAATTTTAATTTTCTGAACTAAAAGCTTTTTTTTCTCTTATTCAAGTTTTCGGCCATTTCATTGAGTAATTTTAAAATACAATTTTTAGTACATTTGAAATACAATTTATATACATTTATATATCAATATTAAAATGATTAACAAATTATATATAAAACTAGTAGTGAGTAGCATTTTGCCTTAAGGCAAGTTGCATTAACTTTCCGATATGTATACATAATCAACTTAATCAATAATAATTGAGAATCAGCTGAATTTAACTTGTTATTTCGAAAATATCACTTGTGCTTTTACTAAAAATAAACAATACGATTTCCAATCAATGTCTTTCAAACATATTTATAATATCTGTTATTGAATAAGTATATACTGAATAAGTAATAACTAAGGTGTTTAAAATATTTTATATCATCTAATTTGAAAGTAAACACGTTTTTAAGTGTGGTCATCAACTGCAATCAGTGCATACTTACAAAACACCACAAAACATAGATTCTGGTTAGTATCGCTTATGCTCACGGCAAAATTCTAAACTTTGATCAATTTTTATAATTTAACCAATCATTGTAGACAGTATAATATTTTAGTATGTTATTTTAGACTATGAAATTTATCATCATACCAAGTTTCAAAAATTAACAAAAAAACAGCATTTAATAAGTCTCGGCCGATTTTTAACAAAAACAAATCGAGGCAGTTCTCAACCAATATCTTGGTTTATTAATTTTTTTTATCCATTTAGGATTGTGACCAAAATTTTAGATTTTCTGTTAAGTACAAAGAATCGGCTTGGTCAATCGTTGCACAAAACTGACATCCTTAGTGTAATTAGTAAATTAATCAAGTAAAGTTTTTAGGGTAAGGGAGAGTTTGACAAAAAAATCACGAAATATCACGTGGGCGAGGGACAGGTATAGTAAGATATCACGTGCATTCATTGTTTACCTGAATTTATTCAAAAAAATCCAAATATTTAAAAAAAATCAAAATACTATATGAGATGTTTGGTGGGAGAGGGGGGGGCATTTTAAATATCACCACGTGTACATAAGGGGAAGGGGGAGTTAAAAATTTACTAAAAAATTGATCACGTAATTAATGCCCTCTTACCTAGTTGCACCAAATGTCTTTTAAATTTTTTAAATCCGTCCCGTCGTTTTCGAGAGACCACAACGAAAGATAAAAAATTGTTCACATACCCATATACATATACATACTTTTTCGAAATTTGATCAAATTCAGAATAACGAGAAAACATGAAATTGACAAATCGGATTTTTTCACCAATACATGAACTTCTAAAGAAAATTTAAAAAAAAGATTAAAAGAAGTGAAAATTTTAAGTTCAGAAAATTACTATGCTAAATACAAAAATATATAAAATATTTGAGTTAATCTAATTATATTTCATTAATCATTTTCCCAATTTACCAATTAATCCCTTGATCCATTTCCAGGGCGGCTCAATGCCAAACACTTCGAGTTCTGTGCCGTTCCTGCTCTCCTCGTCAATGCAATCAATTCGTTCCCGGCGCACCTCTGGCTGCATGTCGACGGCGTCCAGTCAGCAGGGGAGCACAACCGGACTGCTGCAGCAGATCGGTTCAGGCGTGGTAAGACAATTCAATTTCGGTGCCAGCGGGGGTGGAGGGTCGGGGGCGGGTCTCGGTTCCGGTATCGGTTTCGGTGGCGGCTATTTCAATGGCTCGTCCAGTAGTCGAGATAACAGCAGAGAGAGATCTAATAGTATTATGCAGCAGGCGGTTAGGAAGTGTCCGTCTTTGAATATCACGTTTACGGACTAGTCCGAGCTCAAACAGGGGTTTATTGAGACTACTTTGTTTATCATTTCGAAACCTGATTAGGATTATTGATTTTGTTGCGCTTGAAATTAACCCTTTCTACTCGGCTATCTTTCTGAGGGGTCAACATAGGTCCTTGTGCTCACCTGTCACTTGATAGTTTGTATACACAATGGCTCAGTTCGTATTAAGGCTTTACGCGGCTCTTTAAATATCTGAGATTATTTCATCAAATCTATTTTATCAATGATGTAATTATTATGTATTCTATTGCTGTTGCATTAATTCACAAATAGTTTTCCTTTCCCATTATATATTTTTATATTATGAGGTTTATATCAAGTTTTGAAAATTATTATAGATTGCGACCCGCCATAAAATTACAAAAATTAAATGAGGCCTGTGAGTTAAAACGATTGATCATTCTTAATTTTATGGCAAGGCTATGTAAGGTAGCAGTTTTCATCCAAAATTGCACTAAATACTGTCAAAAACCATATGGTTGCTGGTGGTGCAGTCAGGCCATAAGTCAGGCCATATGTACAATAGAAAAGATCAAGGATGAGCAAACCGCGGCCGGAGGGCTTTATGGGGAACTTTAAATATCTTAATTTATATCAAATATTTTTTATCAATAATGTAACTATCATGTATTATCTATTGCTGTTGCAATAATTTACAAATAGTTTTTTTTTTTTCAATTAAAAATTTTTATATTTTAAAGTTCATATCAAGTTTTGTAAAATATTATAGAGTGCGACATAAAATTTCAAAAATTAAATGCGGCTCTCGTGAGGTGAAAAGTTTGCTCATTCTTAGAAAAAGGAGCCAATTCAGCCGTAAAATGGGCAGATTGGTATGCCTTGTGGAAATTGATTTGAACTTCAACATACTGACGTAAATAGACGTTCTTTAATGTCCACAAATTTACATCAGGTATGTTTTCGTCAGAATGTGGCACCGCATTCCTGGCAGATTGTTTTATAAATCAGTACCGAGTGGTAAGGGTAAATATTAAAAGTCTATACAATTATTAACTTTAATTTATATATTTTATTTATTTATCTTTATTCAGATACATAATTAAAACGCATTGTAATTAATAAAATTGACTCCAATATTCAAAATCTCTTGTATATTCCTGGCTCAAAAATGGAAATAATTTTGCTTTTTCTAATATTTATATTAGTTTTGATATAATTTTTTCTTATGCATAAAGGACAAAAACAATACTTTTCTTTATTCTACTTTCAAAAAACGAGTACTATTACATTAAATATTATAATTTTGTGTGGACTATAATGTGATAAAACTAATGCGTTTTAATTTTTAACGAGTTTTACTTTAGTTAACTATTGAAATTTTTATGTGAAGTAAATCTTACAGAATAAAATAAAATCTCTTATGCACTAGTACAATCCCAAACATTAAATAAAGATTTTACTCATATTATAAAATGTATCAAACTATGATTATACAAATCGATATTAGAAATTGCATAAGATCTATCTCTGCTGAAATTTAGGGAATTATTAATATTGAAATTTATATTAAACACTCTCTTATTTTTATAAAAAATCGATCAAGACCGATGATAGTTTTAAAACTAGATTACGATAAACAAAAATCCGCCGAAATTTGCAAAAACGATACCTGTATGATAAAATAATATATTTAATATTAGAAAAAAGAGACAAAGTCTATTTAATATACGTAATTATCGATTAAAGCATGACTCTATAAATATATAAATGTAAATTGCCTGTGAAATTAAATTGCTATAAAGATATTGTTGTAAATACGTATTGTACATATCAATCAAATAAGTATTAATTATTAATTAAATGTTGAAAATCACATCCGATCAATGATTATGGATTCAATATAAATAATACCGCGTATGAATAGGATTTAAATATTTCTGTTTAAGTGCCAAATTATGAAGTATGTGTATCATTTATTCAGTGTTAATTGTATTTTAATATTTATTAATTGTTAATTAAAATAATATTATTGTTGTTCATCTATTCATTAAGCTTGTGTAATCATTCATTTGTGTGATGTCCAGCTGTACTGTCTATGTATTCACTCTTTTTTACTTTCTGCACAAATTTTCCTTAAAACTTGCACATGTAACATAGATCAATGGATTTAAATCTTTTGATATTGATGTATATTTTTATTGTCAATGGTTTTTGTAAGTATATTTGATGAGGCTGTCCATTTACGCTCACAAAATGAACCAAAAATTTGGCTAAAATCCATTCTTCATTTTTCAAAGTTTTGTCTATGTTCATATTTGGGTGTCCATTTGAATTACATTGATCCAATTTATTTTACTTGTTAGTATGTCTTTAATATATCTTCAACTGATAATTTAAATTGTGGTTACTTAGAAATATTTATGTTAAAAAAATATATTATAAAATAATAATTTATGCTAAAAAAATATGAGGTGAGCAAGTGGATGGCCTCTTTCTAAGTATATTTACCATCTACCAAACAAACAGAATGTTTCCTGTGCGAGTAAAATTTCTCTGATCCATATCTTCTTCATCATGCTTAAAATCAAAGCAAATTCCTACTTATTCTCTAATTGGTCTGTGTTATGTGTAACTTAATTAGTTACAACCAAACTTCAAAATTTACGAAAAAATATTGATACTAAACATCAGAACACAATCAACAGATAGACACATTCAGAAAACGATTTGGTAACATCAAAAAACACAATCCAAATAAATATGTTTACCACATATAATCATATACATTCCTATGGACATGTAGCCCCCTTAATAATAAATTAATCAGCAAAAATTGGTAATAGAGTCTTCATCTTCAAACTTCTTACCTCAAGCTTTTGTATGTTTCATACATCATCATCTAAATAGTTATTTTTATGAATTTTTTAGACGGCGTTTTATTTTTCTCATTCATTTATGGAAATATATGATTGAAATAAATGGTTTTACCAAAAAGTTTTCTGAATGTCGATTTTTTACCACGGGGGCTGCCTGTACTTAGTGGTCTATTTGTGTTGATCGGTATTTAGTAAAAGAGCGAAAATGTAGACATGGTACTGCTTAGTCAAAACTAACTAAAATTATAATTGCATTTTATAATAAGTTATTTAATCTTATGAATGTTATCATTTTTTAGTATTTTCTTATTTTCAAAAGAAAGCGTAAATTCTAAAAAATTAGTGTTAGTGTCACACTTAATGTATTGAATCATATATATATAAATCTACACATTGACTATCACAAAACAATATACGATACAAAAGTAGAAGTTTACTGTTGCATTTATCAGTAGAATTCGATGTTTTATATATATAAGAAAAGTATTAACTTTTTCCTCTTTATCGATGTTAAAAAAAACATTTGTACAGTGTTTACAAAGCTAAAACAAAATCCATTTTTTCGATATTTGCAGTATCAACTGTTCTCTGGGCGCACTTAGAGCGAGTTTGACACCAAATTTGGCGAACACTTCGAGTCAGGCTACCCCCCAGTCAAATGCCATTAATCTAAACCAGACCAAAACCGAAAAAAAATATTTTGAAATGTTTAAAATTCGTGTTTTAATCGCTGTTTTTGGTGTATTTGTCATCGTTGCACCTTCTAATCATGAGACATGGGGAACATATTTTTCTGAATGCCATTTATAAGGGACACAGGGACATATTGGGGTCCACTGTTATCTAATTTGATTTTCATTTTATTTTGTTTAAAGTTTCAAGTAAATGGCATAATAAATATTGTTATTATAGTCCAGTCGTTATAGCAAGTTCACCTCGAAATTCGATATTCCCAGCTGCAAGACTGTAATTACTCGTATTTTGGAACCCTAAAAGTTGTCTCAAAACCTACATATCTTGCGTACACCCTATCATGTGTAGGTTTTGAGACAACTTTCAGGGTGCATAATACAAGAATTAACAGACTTACTGCTGGGAATCTCGAATTCCAAGATTCTTACCTAATTTCAGCTTAAATGACTGTTAATAAGTCAGTGAGCAGACAAATTTTTGTCTCACTACTTAAGATTTAGAGGCAAATTATGTTGTAACATAGACGATCATGGCAACGCTAAATTATCTTCTTCTTGGTACTAAAAGTTTTGAAATGCTATCTATTTGCTGTGGAGCAGTGTGTTTTACACAGGAAATAGCATTTCACAGTTTTTAGTACCAAGAAACCATAACAACGCTATGTTATCGTCTTTGTTATCACAAATTTGCCCTTAATTTGTGATAGTAAACATTTTAAAGTTGTGATACAAGTTTTTGTAAGAGTTTTATAAAATCTTTGCGCAAAATTTGATATTTATTTTAAACAAATTATAAGTTACTTTTAATCATCTTATCCAGAAGTTTTTTTATTATTTTTTCACTCCAAACATTCAGAAATATATGTGACTCTCATGATTTCATACTCATTGTTTGAGCACTTTCATGTCATGTCTTTTACATGTTCGAGGCATATGTATAAAAGCA